AACAAACTCAATGCCCAAATTGCAAGGTCACTTGGGAAAAAATAATCAATAGTTAGATAAACACTGTTTGAAGAACCAAAAACTGTGCAAAAGAGAAACATAAACCTATCCATTTTAACCTTTGTTTAGGTGTTTCATGTAGTGTACGGCTGCTATTCAATGTATCCAATTAACTTGAGGGTCTGAGGCGAGATGCTGGACTAGGAAAAAGGACAGTTCCAGCATATTCTGCACCTTGCAGGATTCCGATACGTCATGCCTCCACCAAAATAATGATTGTTACGATGGCCAGAAAATGCCCAGCCATCTTATTCTTGTCCACCAAACCAACAGATATCTGTATCATCTCCAGTTCTTTGATCACCATCACCTGAGAGACTCCTATCACTTTTCACTGTAAGTACCACCTCTTTGCTGGCCAAGCAGAAGGTTGTATCCATAAGGTGTGCAATGGACCATAAACATAAAACAGCACTCCATCTCAATCACAGCCTAGGCAAGAGGGGACCAATGAAAACTCGAGAGCACTGCTAGAGGCAGCAACAACTGGACACACCCACTGGTAAATTTCTCACCTGATGTTTGGCAGGAAGGGCTCCGTCCAGTTAATCAGGCCAAATACGCCCAAGCCCAACATCAAGACGAACCAGTTAGTGCAGCCCTCTTACAATGTTTTCCCCGTAGATTTCTGCTGGCTTAGCTTGTAAACATAATACTCATTCTACGCCATGTTGATCACTGCATCCCTGATGATACTGAACTTTGAAGAATGGCAGTAGGTACAAGTGGCAAATCTTGGTTTTCAAAACAGAGTTATGTCTCCAATGTTTCTCATGTGATGTCATCAGAAGCAAGTGAATGCAAATCATCCTGCCATACTTCAAAGTATGTCTTCTCTTCTGCGAACGTTACCAACATCAACAGTGTTTCAGCATAGACCACAAAGAAAACTATCACCTCATGAAGGTAATCGCAGAGGTGCTTGGAGCACAATTTGACCTGACTACTGTGTGACAGAACCTGGTGACTGACATGAAGGCATCAGATTGTATGGACTCACAATATTCAGCAGGTCAATACCTGGAAGAATACGATGTTGTCTTCACCCCATTATCCACTATTCGACTATGAGTAAGAAATCCCACTGCTAAAAACGACAGATGGCACGAGATAAAAGAGGTGCAACATCTACTGCTCTTAGGTTTATGCAAAACTTCTGCAGCAACATGAGGAAAATATCATGTGTTGCGCTTCATGAATCTCTGGCATCTGTTGTTTGGGCAAAATGACGGTGAGTTCTTCATGGCCACACGAAACCTGAATTAGCAACCAAACAGTTATGCCAGTATCATAGATTCCTTGGCTAAATAGGACCTGTACTGTTAGTGGTTTTAAATAAGAGAACAATGAGGAGACTCGAATCAGATAACAGCTTAGAATGTGCCAGATTCTCAGTGGCTGTAAAATCACTGATGTGTTTTCCACCAAGATGGAATATTGCAAACTAAGTGATCAACCGAAAAAGGCTAGCGCCCCGCTTCATATATAAAGCAACGACCAATATACAATCCAACCCAGACAACACGACACCACACCACACACACTCAAGGCAAGATACAAGGGTGTTTAAGAACAGCTAGACTACCTCCATCCACTTCAAGCAAACTACAGGTAGGATCACTGTTGAAAAAAGCGTTATTAGGCGCTCGCCTAGGCGTGCTTAAGCGCTGGGCGTTGGCATAGCGCCTTGCTTTGGCCCTAGGCGCTCAAAAAAGCGGCCGGCAAGGTCCTCCGGCGAGAAATCAGCCTCTCCGGCGAGGAATCATGTTTCTCAGGCGAGAAATCTGTCTCCCCGGCGAGGATTCGACCTCCCCTGTGAGGATTCATCCTCGCCGATGAGGGATTCAACTGTCCCGACGACAAATCGAGCTTCTCCAGCGAGGGATTGAGATTCTCCGGCGAGGGATCGAGCTTCTCCAGCGAGGGACAGAGGAAGAGGGAGAGAGGCAGCCTCTTGCAGCAAGACAGAGGACGAGGGGGGGAGGCAGCGTGAGGAGGAAACCTAAATTTCCTATCAACTGCACCAGACGAGAGCTTTAGTAGGAGGATATGAAGATGGGCCTGTGGTTTAATGGGCTAGGCCAGCCCATCTAACTTATTTCTTCATGTTACAGTACTAACGCCTAATTGCGCCTAATTTAGCCTAATCACGCCTAAGCTAGAAAAGCGCAAGTAGGTGCCCAAACACATAATTAACGCCTAGCCCTTTTTTGAACTTTGGGTAGGATCAAGAGGGCACCGCTTGAAGCCTTTAGAGGCTTCGACCATGAGCAAGTCACCACGAAGAGACGAAGTTATGCACGACAAACCGAGTACTCCAAGGCGGCACCTTCAGGAAGGCACGACATTGGAGCACTACCACCGCTCGATCGAGGGATCAAGGTTTCCCCCGGAGCAACATGGAGGATAAAGAGGAACCATGGCCACGCCGTTGTGGCCTGGAGGAGCCACTGGAGGAGCCAGAACGGATTTTCACCCGGCAAGCCCTCTTTGTCTTCGAGACGTAGAAGAACAAGCGATGAGAATGCCTGCCGCACCATTGCCTCTAACCGTCGCACACTAACCACCAAGCCGCCCACACCCGAGCCACGAGCACCGCGGCTCCCACCTTTAGGGCCGCCGTGGCAACCAAGGCTCTGACTCCATCCCCACCCAGGCTTGCAGCCATGACGGCCAAAGAGACGGGTGGGAATGCACCTTCTTTCCCGCCCCTGGACTGCCCCAGGTCCACGCACCCCTGGGCCGGCCAGATCTGGCCTCCATCGCTCTGCCTTGCCTCGGCCGGGCAAAGAACGAGAGAGCTCCCCGATGGCGCACCGCCACCAGACGGGAGGCAATGATGATTCCATGGCCCTCCCAATGACGGAAACATCCCTCAACAGTGGACATCCGCTGGGAGAGGTCCAACCCTTCGGTGCATCCCACCCAAGCGCAGGGAGGGAATGGACGTTGGACGCACAACACCACCACAGCGCCGCCGCCACCAACAACAACAACCAGCCACGCCAACAGTAGCCAATCGCGGCCCAAGCCACAGCCGGCGACGCCGGAGAGAAGAGCAGACCGCCCCCGCCACTTGCAGCCCCCAGCCACACCCGGCCCATTGCCACCACCCAGCCCGTCGTACCACATACACGCCAGCGCACCACCGTGCCGTGGGCCAGCGCCACAACCCGATCCAGAGCGCCGGCCCGTGCCAGATCCACCGGGAGGGGAGACAAGGAAGTCCCTCAGCCGCCGACGCAAAGAACGAGGGAAGAAAAGGGGGAGGTAGGCGGCCGGGCAAAGAACGAGCTCCCCGATGGCGCACCGCCACCAGACGGGGGGCAAGGATGATTCCATGGCCCTCCCGGCGACGAAAACATCCCTCAACGGTGGACATCCGCTGGGAGAGGTCCAGCCCTTCGGTGCAGCCCAAGCGCAGCGAGGGAATGGACACCGGACGCACAAAACCACCACTAGTAACCAGCGACGGGAATGGTAGCCGGTCGCGGTACAAGCCGTCCGCAACCCGCGACACCGGAGAGAAGAGAAGGGCGCCCCCGCCGCTTGCAGCCCGCAGCCACAACCAGCCTGCCGCACCACCACCCAGCCTGTCGTACCACGAACACGCCACCATCAGCGCCACAACCCGATCTAGATCGCCGGCCCACGCCAGATCCACCGGGAGGGGAGACAAGGAAGCCCCGCGGCCGCCGACGCCGGCCAGGCTTCGCCCGGCCACGCCCTCTGGCGGTAGCGGGGGAGGAGGGGAGAAGAGGGGGAGGTAGGCGGCAGCGCGCTTGGGTTCCACCCTATGCCTCACAGGATTGACGTAGAAGGAGGGGATAAGGCTCCGTCTAGGAGTATTATACAAGACCTGCAAACTAAGCAGAGGTAGAGACAAGGCTAGGGCAAATGGGGCTATAGCCCTAGGTCCAGTGACAATAGTCTTGGTAAATGCTTACAAAATACAAAAAATCACTAATGTGCATCACTCAAGCTAGCTTAGCCCTAGGCATAGCCCCATGCTAGCTCCGCCCCTGAAACTAAGTGATGGTAATAAGTTTGCACTGTCCTGTTACTCACACGTACTAATCTCTAGAAGAATTAGTCACAAAGGTAAAAATATGATTGCTCAATGTAAGGATGTGGATTATAAGAAACATGCAAGGAAAAAACAGTCGTAAGAGTGGCATTTGCTTGCTTGTTCCATTACTAGAACAACTAGGAAAGTCAGATCAAAACAAAAAAGAAAACTCGGAAAGATACGTGTGTGTTCTAATGCCAGTAAGAACCAACTGATTCATAGTGAACATACCAAACTATTCCAGTACTAACTACGTAGGAACTAATGACCAATAACTTGTGAATAATTAAACTCAATCAAGAGGAAATGCATGCAAAAACTTACTTGGTTTATCCGCTCATGGATCTGTTATTGGCATCAATATTGGTGGAAGCATGGCAGATGGTATCTGTAACACGAATACAAATCTTATCAAATACAGTCTAGCATATATTGGTAGAAACAAGACTATCATTCTTTCTAAATGGAGAGGCCAAGGAAAAATACACAACAAAGTAATGTGTTTGCACATAATATACTGGAAAGTAAGAAATGCGTTGAGACCTTACCTATGGAACATTTCGAAATTTGGGAGTTCCTTCTCACTCTCCCAACTTAATAGAGAAACAGAGTCATTTTTCTGTCTGTTGGGGCCTGTTTCCAGATAATTGGATTTTTCGCATGTCTTCTCAAATTTGGCATCAAATGTAGTTTCTTGACTAGTTTGAACCCAGTCAGAAAACCAGGAGAGGTGTTTTAATTTAGTGGCTTTTGCTGCTATGCTGTATGGAAAGTAACAAGTTAGTAACATCTTATAGTAAAGTTCCAGAAGTGATGGTGTTTATTTATTTATTTATTTTACTCCTACCTGCTCACAAGCAGATGCTCAAGTTTAACCATCAGAACCAGGAGCAGTATCACCATTTGTAAAAGAGGGTAGCACACTTTCCATTTCATTCTGAAGACTAGCTGCCTCCTCAATATTCCCCAATTTCATGTATTTGCTTATCAGACAGTTGTAAATTACCGTATCAGGAGTAATACCATTTCCAATCATTTCTGAAAGAACTTCTCTAGCTTCTTGCATCATATTTAAATTACAAAATCCCCATAGAAAACAAGTGTACCCATAGAGATCTAGCTGCAAACCACTATTGATCATCTCGGCCTTGAGTGCAAAGGCATCCTGAAGATTTCCCTGCTTCAGGTACCCATCCATAAGAGATGTATACACAACTTTGTCCAAAGACAAACCCTTGTCAACCATTTCATCCAACAACCCCACAGCCTTGGTTAAGCACCCACTCTTGCACAAACCATCAATTAAAGCGGTGTAAGTATGTACATTAGGCTCTAACCCTAGGTCTCTCATTTTGTTAAAATGTGAGACTGCCTCATCAACTGATCCTGATTTGCACAAACCATCAACCAATGCAGAATATGTCACAACATTAGGCTGGAACCCGGAATCCTGCATCTTGTGGAACAGGGCAATGGCCTCTGACTCTTTTCCTTCTTTAAAGCAGGCATCCATTATATTCGTATAGATGATATTATTGGGTTTCAGACCACATTCATCCATTTTATTTAACAAACTCTTAGCCTCATCCACCTTCTGAAGATTACAGAGTCCCCAAATGAGGGCACCATAAAGCGAAACATCAAGCTCCATCCCTTTATCCTTCATCTCACTCAACAAATCCAGCGCTCTCTCACTATTTTTATTCACAAAATGCCCATGAATTAGTGTGGTGTACAACAACTCGTTGGCTCTGACGCCAGCTTTCTCCATCAGCCTAAAAACATCCTCCGCTTCTGCAACCTTCCCCTCTTTACAAAGTCCATCAACTTGCACAGTATATGTGACCACATTCAATGGCACACCTTGCTGCACCATTTCATCAATCAAAACAAAGGCATCATCAAGCCTACCTGCCTTAAAGGTCCCATCAACCAAACATGTATATGTCACCTCATTCGGTGCCATCCCCCTGATCCTCATTTGCGCAAACAGCTTCATAGCCTCCCTTACCATCCCCTCCTTGCAGAACGCATCTACAAAGGTGCTATAAGTCCTTACATTTGCTATCACTCCTTCCCTCTTCATCTCAGCAAAGTAGCTGTATGCCCTTTCCATCCTCCAAAACTTGCAAAAGCAGTTGACTAATGCATTGTATGTCACAACATCTGGTGTGCATCCACACCCCCTCATCTCCCCGACGAGCTGCTCCACCTCTTCCAACTCCCCGCATTTGCCACACCCATCAATGAGCGAATTGTATGTGACAACATCTGGTGGGCAACCTATTGCCTTCATCCTCGAGAACAATGCTCTCGCCTCAGCGAGCTCCCCTTCCTTGCACAGGAAATCGATCACGATGTTGAACGTGAACACGTTGGGGGCAGGCACCTGCTCAAATAGCCGCCGGACGAGCGCACCGCGGCGCTCACGGGCTAGGCGGAGGAGGATGTGGTTGCAGGTGCGGGTGTTAGGGGGCACCCGCAGCTCCCGCACACGGCCAAGGGCGAGAACGGCGCCGTCGAGGAAGCCGCGGTCGGCGAGGAGGGAGAGGAGGGTGTCGACGACGGAGGGCAGGGCGCTGCGGCGAGGCCCCAGTGCGAGAGCCGCGCGATGGAGGAGGTCGACGAGGGAGGCGGCGAGGTGGGGCCGGTGACCGGGGGCGAGAAGGCGGGAGAGGAGGCTGCGGGAATGGGGGAAGAGGCGGGCGCGGGCGAGGAGGTGGGCCGCGATGCAGAGGTGGGCGGAGGAGGGGAGGGGATGAGAGAGGAGGAGGTTGGCGGGGACGGCTTGGAGCGACTGGAGGAGGCGGAGGCGGTCGGAGATTGGAGTGGCGGCGGCGGCGGAGGAGGAGGAGGAGGAGGAGTCGGTTGGGAGGGTGGAGATGGCGGTGGCGCGGATAGAGAAGGGGATGAAGCTAGGGTTCCGGCGAGAGTAGAAGGAGAGGAAGTGGCGGCGCAGGGGGAGGGGTAGCATCGTTTGACCGCCTCCGGCGGCGGTGAGGCAGAAAGAATCAGGCCATGGAGGAGAGGGGGGCCGAGGAGGTATCGTAGTAGGGTTTAGTGAGGTTTTGAGTTGCGCTTCATTTGGGGCCTTTCGCTTATACTTTGTGGACTGTTGTGCGCTGGATTTCGCCAGTTCGGATCCAATTCAAACAAGAACCGGAGCCAACTAGGGAAACATGGATACAAATACCAGTTCCACATATGTTGAAATGGAAAGCATCTGGATCTTCAAACAATTGTAAAAAAAACAAAATGGGACATTTTAAACAGACAAAACGCAATCTTTTTTCAGTACTTTTAGAATTGTGAATTATGACTACGTCGTGACTCTATTTTTTAGGGAGAAACTTCATTCATCTTGAATCTTGGCAGTACAAAGAACACTAGAAGTAATACAAATTACAACCGGGTCCATGGACCACCTAACGACGACTACAAGCACTGGAGCGAACCGAAGGCGCGCCACCATCATCGCTGCTCCCTCACCGGAGCTAGGCAAACCTTGTTGTAGTAGACAGTCGGGAAGTCGTCGTGCTAAGTCCTCATAGGACCAACACACCAGAGCAACAACCATCGTTGATGAATAAAGACGCAGATCAGAAGGATCAAACCTGTAAACACCCAAACGAAGACCGGATCCAAACAGATCTACCAAAGACCAGCACTGGTCAAATCCTGCAGGATCCGATGTAGACACACCTTCACGAGCCCTCCGATGAGGCTAGACGCACCATTGGGGCGGGGATGGAATGTAGGAGACATTAAATCACCGCCGCCACATAGCCCCAACAAAGACGCCTAATCTAACAAGAACGGGAATGGGGTCCATCCCGCCGAGGGGGGGGGCGAGATCCTCCGCACCTCCATGGCCAAAGGCCATCGGAGATGGGGCGGACCAGCGCGGCGCCGACGGGAGGCAAAGAAAAGGCTAAGGTCTTTTCTTGTGGAGGAGGAAAGGTGCTTAGACGTCTGACTTTGATTGTTGTAGGAGGTACTCTTGGTGTTCTCCAGGGGCGTGATGTTTGGGTGTTCGTGGTTTGAACATTTAACGGACTGAAATGTGAACTGACTTGGATTTTCTATTTCACTTGTGTGTTTTTATACGAAATTATAATTTTCACAATTTTTCATCAAAACATGTGACTAAGGGACTTGCTTGCTTTGTTACGTGTGTATGGTATAGGAGTATGTTATATTATATACTTACTAAATAGTTATCTCCCACTATCTATTATTCTTGCCATCGGTGGAGTGGGAGAAGAAAAACTCCACACCCCTCGCTCCACTCAAATAATATTTATGAATAATCTGATCATAAACCCACAATTCATCGGATCCCAACAAACACACCGCAAAAAAGATTACATCAAATAGATCTCGAAAAACATCGAGAAAACATTGTATTGAAGATCAAAGAGAGAGAAGAAGCCATCTAGCTACTAGCTATGGACCCGTAGGTGTGTAATAAACTACTTACACATCATCGGAAGGGCAGCAAGGTTGATGTAAAAGCCCTACATGATCTATTCCCCTTTAGATAGGGTGCCGAAAAAGGCCTCCAGATGAGATCTCGAAGAACGGTAACTTGCGGAGGCACAAAAAAGTATTTTGGGTGGCTCTTTGTTGGGTTTTTTTATTTTAGAGAATTTATAGAGGCAGAATTAGGTCAAACGGATCCAGGGGACCACAAGGTACTAGGGCACGCCTCCCCCCCCCGGCGTGCCCTAGTGCCTTGTGGCCTTCTCTTTGCACATCTGGTTTCCTCCCGAAGCTTCTAGGGTCTCTTTTGTCCAGAAAAAAAATCATCAAAAAGTTTCATGGCATTTGGACTTCGTTTGGTACTGATTTCCTGGAAAACCAAAACAGGCAAAAAACAGCAACCGACACTTGGCACTAAGTTAATAGGTTACTCTCAAAAAATAATATAATAATGCATATAATTGCATATAAAACATCCAAGATTGATACTATAATAGCATGGAACAATCGAAATTTATAGATACGTTGGAGACATATCATGCACGCCTCTAACTAGGGATGGCAGTTTTGCCCATGGGTATGGGTACCTGTGGGTACCCTACCCAAAAACAGTGGGCACTGGTGAGACTTTCTACCAGTTCATACCCATGGGTAATGGGTATCCATACCCGCAAAATGCATGGGTAGGGTATTGATATGTATCCGTCGTTTCTATAATTTTTTATTGTTTCATGCCAATATTATACAACTTTCACATACTTTTGGCAACATTTTGTATGATTTATTGGACTAACCTATTGATCCAGTGTCCAGTGCCAGTTCCTATTTTTTGCATGTTTTTTGTTTTGCAGAAAATCCATATCAAACGAAGTCCAAACGCGATAAAAATTTACAAAGAATTATTTTGGAATATATGTGATTTTTGGGACTTGGAATCAACGCAAACGGGGGCACACAGCCCCCACAAGACACCAGGGCACGCCCAGGGGCCAGGCGTGCCCTGGTGGGTTGTGCCCTCATCGGATGTCGGTTGGGGCCCTACTTCGGGCGCAGGGAAGCTTATATCTGGAAAAAAATCATGTTAAAAATCTCAGCGCAATCGGAGTTACGGATCTCCCAAAATATGAGAAACGGGTTTGGGCCAGATCTGGGGAGCGCAAAACAGAACAGAGGGGGAGATCCAATCTCGGAGGGGCTCCCGCCCCTCCGCCACCATGGAGGCCATGGACCAGAGGGGGAACTCTCCTCCCATCTAGGGGGGAGGCCAAGGAAGAAGAAGAAGAGGGGGGCTCTCCCCCCCCCCTCTCTCTCCCGATGGCGCCAGAGTGCTGCTGGGGCAAGGATCATGACGGCGATCTACATCAACAATCTTGCTACCGTCAACACCAACTACCTCCCCCTCTATGCAGCGGTGTAACATCCCTTCTCCCCGCTGTAATCTCTACTTAAAAATGGCGCTCAACTCCATATATTATTTCTCAATGATCTATGGTTATCCTATGATGTTTGAGTAGATCTATTTTGTCCTATGGGTTAATCATGATCTTGGTTGGTATGATTGTATATTTTATTTATGGTGTTGTCCTACAGTGCCCTCCAGTTCGTGCAAACGGAGGGATCCTCGCTGTAGGGTGTTGCAATATGTTCATGGTTCGCTTATGGTGGGTTGCGAGAGTGACAGAAGTTTAAACCCCGAGTAAGTGGGTTATGGCGTATGGGAGTAAAGAGGACTTTATACTTAATGCTATGGTTGGGTTTCACGACCTTAATGATCTTTAATAGTTGCGGATGCTTGCTAGGGGTCCAATCATAAGTGCATATGATCCAAGTAGAGAAAGTATGCTAGCTCATGTCTCTCCCTCATATAAAATTACAAGAATGATTACTGGTACTTGTTATCGATTTTCTAGGGACAAAATGACTTTCCTGTTGACAAAAGCTATCCACTTTTATTACCTTGCAATTTATTCGTAGTTTTATTCTCGCAAAGTACTCGTAGTTTTATTCTTGCAAAATAGTTTCATACTTGTTTTAGGTAAAGCAAACGTCAAGTGTGCGTAGAGTTGTATCAGTAGTCGATAGAACTTGAGGGAATATTTGCTCTGCCTTTAGCTCCTCGTTGGGTTCGACACTCTTATTTATCGAACAAGGCTACAAACGATCCCTCATACTTGTGGGTTATTGATACGTCTCCAATGTATCTACTTTTCCTAACGCTTTTCCTCTTGTTTTGGACTCTAATTTGCATGATTTTAATGAAACTAACCCCGGACTAACGATGTTTTCAGCAGAACTACCATGGTGTTGTTTTTGTGTAGAAATAAAAGTTCTCGGAATGGAACGAAACTTTGCAAGGATTTTTTATATTAATAAAGAGAATTTCTGGAGCCAAGAGCCACCTGAGGGGGGGGCACCTGGGTGGGCACTAAAGGAAATATGCCCTGGAGGCAATAATAAAATTATTATTTGTTTCCTTATATCATGATAAATGTTTATTATTCATGCTAGAATTGTATTAACCAGAAACTTAGTACATGTGTGAATACATAGACAAACTGAGTGTCACTAGTATGTCTCTACTTGACTAGCTCGTTACTCAAAGATGGTTAAGTTTCCTAGCCATGGACAAGAGTTGTCATTTGATGAACGGGGTCACATCATTAGAGAATGATGTGATTGACTTGACCCATCTGTTAGCTTAGCACTTTGATCGTTTAGTTTACTACTATTGCTTTCTCCATAACTTATACATGTTCCTATGACTATAAGAATATGCAACTCCTGAATACCGGAGGAACACTTAGTGTGCTATCAAACGTCACAACGTAACTGAGTGACTATAAAGATGCTCTAAAGGTGTCTCCAATGGTGTTTATTGAGTTGGCATAGATCGAGATTAGGATTTGACACTTCGTGTATCGGAGAGGTATCTCTGGGCCCTCTCGGTAATGCACATCACTATAAGCCTTGCAAGCAATGTGAGTAATGAGTTAGTTGTGGGATGTTGCATTACGGAATGAGTAAAGAGACTTGCCGGTAATGAGATTGAACTAGGTATTAAGATACCGACGATCGAATCTCAGGCAAGTAACATACCGATGACAAAGGGAACAACGTATGTTGTTATGTGGTTTGACCGATAAAGATCTTCGTAGAATATGTAGGAGCCAATATGAGCATCTAGGTTCTGCTATTGGTTATTGACCGGAGATGTGTCTCGGTCATGTCTACATAGTTCTCAAACCCGTAGAGCCCGCACGCTTAACATTCGATGACGATTTGTATTATGATTTATGTGATTTGATGTACCGAAGGTTGTTCGGAGTCCCGGATGAGATAGCGGACATGACGAGGAGTCTCGGAATGGTCGAGACATAAAGATCAATATATTGGAAGCCTATGTTTGGACATCGGAATGGTTCCAGGTGAGTTCGGGCATATACTGGAGTACCGGGAGGTTACTGGAACCCCCCGGGAAGTATATGGGCCTTA